AACGTCCGCACAGAGCCTAGTAAATGGTTGTTGGTGGTGATATGCATTCTCTGCTCTTTTATTTCATTCATTTAATCCTCAAATAAACCCATGTCTCAGCACCATTCACCTTGTACAAGTGGGAAAACTAAGTTGCAGAGAGGTCAAGCAGTTTGCCAAAGGTCACACAGCACATAGGTGATGTGGCAGAGCCAAGGTCCAATTCGCGTGTGCCTGATTCCAAATTCTCTGCTCCTTCCAGTGTCACAACCTCCTTCACCAGACTCCCCAGACTCCTAACCACACCTCATCCCTTCACTGTCCTCTCCTAACCCCAGTATGTTGTGCTCCCTTCTTCCTGCACCCTGGTTCTGAACTCCTTTCAGCAGGGTGGGTGTTGGAGGTGGTACAGGCAGGGCCAAGGGGTGGGTGAGCTCCCCCACAGCCCCCTGCCCTGACCTGGAGCCTTCATCCTCCATCTTTCCCTACCTCCCTCAACCAGCGAAGCAGCTGAGAGTGCTTCAGCCTCTGGAGGATGTGACCATTATCGAAGGGGGCAGCGCCACCTTCCAGCTGGAGCTGTCCCAGGAGGGCGTGGCCGGGGAGTGGGCCCGAGGTGGAGTCCGGCTGGAGCCGGGGCCCAAGTGCCACATTCACGCAGAGGGCCACAGCCACCGCCTGGTGCTCAGTGGCCTGGGCCTGGCTGACTCCGGCTGCGTGTCCTTCACCGTGGATTCCCTACGCTGTGCAGCCAGACTCACTGTGAGAGGTGCGGTTGCCTGCTGACCCAGTGTGGCTCTACTGACTTCACCTGTGTATCCCACTGACAGTGCCTATCCCAGTGTGGCCCTCAATGACTTCCCTGCCAGAGTGGACTCCCTTGAGCCTTTGGCCCTGGGTGACCCCCAGTGACAGCCCTGCCTGCGTGTGGCCCCCTGATTACTCCTGTCCCTGTGGGACCCACTGACCGTGCCACTGGGGGCATGCCTGTGCCAGCGTGGGCCCTGTTGTCTGTTCTCCTGAGCACAGCCCCACTGATCACTCAAGTGTGGCATCACTGACCATGCCTGCCCTCTGTGGCCCCCTCTGCCTGCCGCCTGCCTGAGCGTGGCCCCTGACCACTCCCATCCCTGCAATCTATTGACTGCCTGTGTAAGGGGGGCTCCGCCAGCAACTCTGCTCCAGTCTCCCTATTTTTGCTTCCAGTCCCAGTGTGTTCCCCACAGACCACACCTGCTCTAGGATCCCCCCATTGCTCCTCTGAACCCATTGTGTCCCCCACTGGACAGTGTGTCTTCTACTGTTCACTCCAGCCATGTGGGGCCCCCACTGCCCATGCCTGTCCATGGTCCACTGGCCTATCTGCTCCAGTCTCCCCCGTTCCCCTCTAGCCCCAGCATGTCCCCCTGCGACCACCTTAAAGTGCAACCTCCAGCTGGCCACTCTTGCCTCCTTGATCCCTCTGACCCTGCTGTGTCCCTCACTGAGCAGCACCCTCCTGGACCACCTGGCCTAGCATGTCCCCCACTGATCACCTTGTCTACGTGTCCAACACTGTGCTCACGTGTGTCTTCCTTGTCCCTGCGAACTGAGTCCCCACCTGTGCTTACCCCTGTTCCCTCTGCACTGTCCTCCCTCTCCCACTACCAGAGGCCCCAGTGACAATTGTGTGGGGGCCACAGGACCTAGAGGTGACTGAGGGTGACACAGCTACATTCGAGTGCGAGCTTTCCCAGGCCTTGGCTGATGTCATCTGGGAGAAGGTCAGAGCCCAGCCCCAGCCCAGACCATCTCGTCATAATAACAATAGTAATAATAATGCCCCCAAACAGGCAACTAACACTTATTGAGCAATGTGCCTGGCACTGTGCTAAGTGTACTTAACATTTAATTCTTTAATTCTTACAACAACCCTATGAGGTAGATCTTGTTACCACCATGTTAAGAAGGCGGAACGAGGCACAGTGCCGTGAAGTTGCTTGCCCGGGGCAAACAACAGAGGTAGAGCCCATGTTTAAATCAAGGCTTGCCTACCTCCAGTATCCTGACTCATGTCCCGTGCCGTCAGGATATGGCTCTGGGCTTCCCGCGCCCATGGCCCATGGCACCCCTTCTTGGCCCTAAAGAGTGACATCTTCCCAGTGAGGCTCCTGGAGCGGCCCTGAAGGCGCGGGATGGCCCATGGCCAGCAGACCCAACCCTTGGCCGGCCCGACCCCGGCCTGGGGGTCACAAGATGAGGAAAAGTGCCTCGAAGCCGCTTGGAACCAACAGAGGGGGCCGCCGCCTTCCAGGGCACCCACCCTCTGCCACTCCGACCCCTAGGACGGGCGTGCGCTCGCCCCGACTCCCCGGGTCCGGCTCCAGGCACTCGGCGCGCGCCGCCTTCTGCAGCTGCGGCGCTGCGGCCTCTCGGACGCTGGGACCTACAGCTGCGCGGTGGGGACGGCCAGCGCCGGGCCCGCCAGCCTGATCGTGCGCGGTGGGTGTGGGCGACGCAGGGGCTGGGCACTGCCGGGTAGCGGGGCTGCGGTCAGGACTTTCCCGGGGGCTGACCCTGTGCTTCCAGGGAGAAGGGCGGGGAGGGGGCGTGGTGGGTTCCGCCCTCGCCCCGCCCCTCCTCACGCCCCCGGCTCCGCCCCAGAGAGGGTAGTGGCCGTCCTCTCCGAGCTCCGGTCGGTGCGCGCCCGGGAAGGCAACGGCGCCACGTTCGAGTGCACCGTGTCAGAGGCCGAGACCACGGGGTGCTGGCAGCTCGGAGGCCGCCCGCTGAGACCCGGAGGCCGCGTCCGCATCCGACAGGAAGGTCTGGCTGCCATTGCATCTTCTCTGTCCAGTGCAGCCCCGTTCAGGACTCAGGCAGAGCCCGCCCCACTAGGATAAGCCCCACCTCCGGCTCTAATGAGCTCCGCCCCAGACCCAAGAGCTTGTCTCTTACCTTCCCCGCCTCCGGGCTCTGAGCCTACAGCCCCGAACCGCTCCTCTTCTTCCCCCGCCCCGCAAGCCTCCCAATTCCGCCCATTCCAGCGCACGCTTACCGCGCCCCGCTGACCTGCGGGCCTGCTCTCTCTGCTCCGGCCCCGCCCTCGTCCCCAAGCCCTTCGCCAAGGCGGCTCCGGCCTCGTTAGCGCCCCCCTCACTCCCAGGGAAGAAACACATGCTGGTGCTGAGCGAGCTGCGCGCGGAGGACGCCGGAGAAGTACGCTTCCAGGCCGGACCCGCCCAGTCCGCAGCTCAGCTGGAGGTGGAGGGTAAGCCACTGGGGCGGGGGCGGTCGGGGAGTGGCCATCACCTCCTGCTCTGGGACCGGCGGCTGGCGGCCGGTCCTAGGAGTCCTCCCTCCCCTCGAGGGCAGGTCGCAGTGGGCTGCGCGTTTCCTGGGGCAGAGGTGGGGAGGGAACGATTTGGGGCTGAGGTACGGAGGAACGGCCCAGTGGCGTAGAAGCTTGCGGCCAGAAGTGGAGGTCGCAGGGAAGGAAGATGCGCCTCTCCTCCTGGGTGTCCTGCATGTTCCATTAACTTGAACCCTCTCCCCCACCCCCCACCCCCGCAACCCCAGCACTGCCTCTCCAGATGTGCCGCCGGCCCCCTCGCGAGAAGACGGTTCTGGTCGGCCGCCGGGCGGTGCTGGAGGTGACTGTGTCCCGGTCGGGGAGCCACGTGTGCTGGCTGCGGGAGGGGGCTGAGCTGTGCCCAGGAGACAAGTATGAGCTGCGCAGCCACGGCCCCACCCACAGCCTGGTCATCCATGACGTGCGACCCGAGGACCAGGGCACTTACTGCTGCCAGGCCGGCCAGGACAGCGCCCACACTCGACTGCTGGTGGAGGGTGAGTAAAAACCCTGGGCAGAGGGGCAGGCCGCTGGGGAGGCAGGAGGGGGCGCCTGGTAACCAGTAGGCTAGAAACACCTAGGAGAACTTTGCAGGATTTGGAACGCAGGTCTGTTCTGGGGATGTGCTGGGGGCGGAGCTGGGGGAGATCACACCAAGGCTGAGGAGAGGAGGGAGCCCTGTTTATAGGCTAGCCAAGCCCACCTTCTTAGGCCCGTCTTGGCTTCTCCTCACTCTCTCCTGCATCTGGACCATGTTTGTCTCTCCTGAGCCCATGCCCACCCCCACCCCCACACACCATTTCTGCCCCATCCTCCTTCACATTATCCCCCACTGGCCTGTGCTCCTCACTGTCCCTCCCCTCCTTCCTGCTCTCGGCCCAGCTGGCTTCTGCCCATCTCAGCGAGTTCCACACCAGCCTGGACAGAGGGCTCCTGATCTAGTCCCATGTCTTTTCTCTTCCACATGGGATATGCCCCCACCTGCACCCCAGATCTCTCCAGATGCTGGGCCTTGCCATACCCCTCACCTGACCCACCTCCCCCGATCTTCACAGATAGATATTCACAGATAGACGTCAAAGCCCAAAAAGGGTGTGGCAGAGGGTAAGGGCCAGCTCTTCCCGTGTGGGTGCCCAGGCTCTGCCGGGGCAGAGGAAGGGGCGTTTTTCTGTGCCCCACGTGGAGTCGTTCCTCTGCAGGGAGCTAGGAAGACTGAAGCTGGCCGGGCGGTGCCTCAGACAGCTTGGAAGGAGAGGCCCTTACCCTGGGGTGGGGGGTGGGGTGGCAGGGGAGCCAGAGGTGTTGGAAACAATAAACGTGGTACAGCCTCTTTCCCTGCCTCTGTGTGACATGGGAAGGCAGACTTTGTCCAGAGCCCCTGTATGTGACACATGGGGACCAAGGGCTGTTGTGCTCCCAGCTTGGCTCATGGCAGTGCCAGCCACCGAAGACCACCACTCCTGGCAAAGGCCATGCAGTTTGGCACATTTATAAAACATGTAAAAGAGAGTGGGGCAGGGGGAGACAGAAGCATGAGGTGTCCAGGGTGGCACAACAGACACCAGACAAGCACCGTGCACTTGAACCCTTCTCCCCCAGCCCCCCTCCCCAGCCCAGCCCAGAGCAACAACCCCCACTCCCATCCAGTCCCCTGCCACTGCCCTCTGGGATTGATACGGGACCCGGGTGAGGAGTGCTGTAGTTTGTCCCATGGACAAGGATGAGAACCCCTAGCCCTAGATGGAGAGTCTGGTTGAGAGGCAAGAGGTGGTGGGGGGAAGGCAGGCTTCCTCCACATGGACATGCAGGAGGGTGGCCCGTGGCCCCCAGAGGGGGAGAGGAGGCAGGCCAACCTTGGAGAAGCCCTGCCAATCAGAAATCTAAGGCAAGGGTCCCAATGTCCCCTCCAAGCCCACCCCCTCCACACACACACACACAGGCAACACACTAACAACCCTGAGCACACCCCGGTGGGGTTCATACCCCATGTCCCTCAGGAGCCCATCGGGAGCTTGGGAGGGGGTTGTCCCCTCTGTCCAGGCCTCGTCTGAGACTGGTCTTCTTTCTCGCAGCCAGGCCAGTCCTCTCCAGGCTAGGGAGAGGGACAGCCAAGGGCTACAGGGCCAGTCCGGCAGAGCTGGTGACTGAAGAGTCTAAGCAGGTGGGGAACATCTGTCCTGCTATACTCGAACAGGGGGCCCTGAGCAGGCTGTCAGCGGCCCCTGGGACCCATACTCATAGTCTGCATCGGTGGGTGAGGCCATGAAGGAGCTCAGTGAGCTCCCTGTCTGCCGGTCCCGGAAGCTCTGGATGTAGCTCTGTAGAGAAGTAAACACAGGTGTGAGAGTCCCACTGCAGACCCTGCCCTGAAAGCCCTAAAGCAGACAGCTGTAAACCCAGGACCTCACCACACCCACAGTCCACATCCCTGAGACCCCTCACTACACCCCATTTAAAACTCATACTCAGGACACCTCCCCCCAGCCCCAGAGCTGGACCCCCCCCAGGCTCCTGATATAGGGGTGATGACGGGTGCACAAACACTAGGCTGCTTCTAGACAATGACCAGCCCCTGGAGGAGGCCAGCCCTGCTTGGACAGAGCTCAGCCAGTCCCTTCTCCCTGATTTGGGCTAGAGAGGCTGGGGCACTCACTGGGGAGAGGACGTCTCCATTGAAGCGTTTGATGGGCACTGGTCTGCGCCGATAAGGAGGGTCGGGGGGCCCAGGCCTTGGAGGAGCCCGGGGGCCTCTTGGGGGGGCCCGCGGGGGTCTCTTCTTCCGCCGCTTCTCTTTGCGCTCTTCCTGCTGCCGAATCCGCATCAACTGCACACGTCGTTGCTGCCGGCTGATGACCACTTTGAGGGGATGGGCAGAGAAGGGGTCTCAGAGGCCCACAAGCCTCATCTCCCACAGGTCTCCATCTCTTTTCCTACCTGGGGCTCCAGGCGCCCAGATTCCCCTTGTCAATGCCTCCCTTCCTTTCCTGCTCTCCCACTTCCTAAATGGGACTCCCTGCACTCACTCCTGTCTTTGGAAGGTCTTTATGGAAGATCCCTGGACTTCCAGGCACCCCTTCCCCACCCGTTATCTGTCTTCCAGGCCTGAGCTATAGGTGACTCACCTGGGCCAGCCACCATTCTCACTCAACTGATCAACTACAGCTGCTTCCTAACTGGTTTCCCCCCTTCTCTGCTTGCCTACCTCTAATCCTTTCTACACTCAGGAGCCAGAGTGAACACCCCAAATGCTAGATTTGATTCTGTGCTCCCCTGCTTTAAACGCTCCAGTGGTTTCTCGTTGCCCTTCTAATGAAATCCGGAGTCCTCATCATGGCCCAGAGGGACCAGATGATTGGCCCAATTTCTGTCCCTCGCATACTACACTCCAGCCCCACCTCCTCAAGCAAGCCAGGCCCATTCCTTTCTCAGGGCTCTCACCCTTGCTGTTCCCTGTTCTCTTTGCATGGCTGGCTTATCCTTCAGGTCTCTGCTTAAACATCACCTCCTCCAAGTGGCCTTCATTGACCACCCAATCTATAATAGGTCATTCTTTCACAGTATCCTATGCATCTCTTTCATGTCACTCTATACAGTGGGAATTATCTTGTTTATCTGCCTATGTAAGAGTTAAGAGTTGTCTGTCTCTCCCTTCCCCAAATGTTAACCCATAGGGGCAGGGGTCTGTTTTATCTTCTATATCACTGGTGCCTGGAATGGGGTCAGCCCAGAGCCAAAGTTCCATATGTTGTCCTATCCTCCCAGGCCCTGAGTGAGTCAACTGTCTAACCCCATTGAGGCCTCTGCCTCCCACTCCCCAAATGCTTAGTCCCCCACCTTAGTCCCCCACCCGCCCCTGGTCATCCACTCCTTTCATGCCCACCCTCGTCTGTACCCTCTCACCTTCTGTGTGGGAGTCCCCCTCGGCCGTCACCCGCCACTGCACCAGGATGCCCATCAGGCTGAGCAGGGGCCAGAGTGCCAGCAGGGCCCAGCTCCGCCAGCACAGTGGGGGCACGGGGGCGGCCCGCAGCCGCTCTACTGCATAGCGCCCCAGCAGCAGCAGCTCAGCAAAGTAGTCAGCAGCGGTGGTGATGAGCGCAGCACCAGTCACGGCGGTGGCCAGGGTGGTGAGTGGGCGGGGCCAGCGCAGTGTGAGCAGGGCACAGAGCAGGCCGCCTCCCAGCAGCAGCCCCAGTGGGCCCCACACGGAGCCTGGCTGGTAGTAGGGTACGGAGCCCAGCAGGGCAGCAGCAGCGAGCAGCAGACCGAGCAGCAGTCCCACCAGGAAGAGGCCTACGCTGCGTACCAGCATGGCCACCAGCCCGCAGAGCAGCCCGATGCCCAGCGCGATGCCTGCACTTGCCCCGGTACTCAGCTGTGTCTCTAGCACCCGCTCCCGGTAGCACAACAGGAAGATGACCACCGAGCCAAACAGCAACCCAGTGAGGAAGAGCACTGCCTTGAAGCAGCGGTAACCTGGAAGGGAACAGTGGCTAGTGAGGGGCCAAAACGAGGACACCGGGCTGGAGGGAGGAGGTCAGAGAGGTCAGCAACTTGGGGTCACAGAGGAATCAGAGACAAGGACACTAAGATCAGAGAATTGGGGGTCATTGGAGTTATGAGGGCATTGGTGATGGGGCCATTGAGGTTAGAGGAGGTCAGAGAAATAAGCTCATTAGGAGTCACTGGGAAAACAGACAGGGTCATTGAGATAAGAGGATGGGGATCTTTGTGGGTCAGAGGAGTCAGAGAGAGAAGTCACTGGGGTCTTTGGGGAGAGAGTGTTCAGAGAGATAAGGTATTTGGAAGTTAGAAAGATAGGGCCTTTGAAGGGTCACAGGGGTTCAGAGAGATGGTATCGTTGGAAAGTTAGAAAGGAAACAGAACCAAGGTTATTGGGGAGTTCTGGGAGATAAGGTCTTTGCAGGTCGGGGGGATTGACAAAGGTGGAATCATTGAAAGTATTACAGGGTTTCTGAGAGAGGGGAACACTGAAGTCAGAAATGGGATCACTGGAGATCGTGGTGGGGAGGGGCAATCACACAGTGGAGTCATAGGGATCAGATAGGAGTAATGAGGGATCAGAGATAGGAGTAACGAGGCGGCCAGAGGGATGGAAGGTAATGAGATAAGTGTGTGTGTTGGGAGGGGGACTGGAGGTCACTAGGTCTTACGAGGGGTTATAGGGAGTCAAAGAGAATTATAGAGGAAATGGTGGTTGTGGAGCTTCATAAAAATGGAAGTTATAGGGCTAATGGGGCACCTGGAAAGGATCCAGAGCAGTTGTGAAGATGGAAGTCAGAGATGGGGATCAAGGGGTCAGGAATAGCCAGAGAAAGGTCATAAAGGTGAAATTCAGTTCCAGAAATGAGGTAAAGTATCAGAATCCAAAAGGTTCCGGGATCAGAGAAAGAGTAGGGCATGGATAAGGGTTCAGAGTCCAAGAGTCTGGGGGTAGAGGCATCCAACAGGGGTGGGCTGTCAGGGCAGCCCAGGAGAGGGAATATGAGGCTGCACTGAGCACCATGTAGTGGGAGTGGGTATAGATAATGGAAGGGGTGAGGTGATGCAGACTCCTTGGTGGAGTCCCAAACCTTTGGGCGGGCACTTCCTCCTGCCTACTTTGCAGTTGTTCAGCCCAGAGTTTGGAGGTGGAAGGGGACGGACCATCTGGCTTCCACTCCTGCCTACTCAGCCATTCTGGGGGATGGGGGATGTGGAGGCTGCAGAACACAGGTTTTGCCCCACCTCTGCCCAGCCTGAAACCCAAACCTCCCATCCTCCTTTGCCCCCAATGCTTCTAGTAGCCCATAATCTTCCTCTTGGAGACTTTATTTAGGTCCCTAGCCCATTAAGCTCACTCCCCTATTGTAGAGTCACTGGGCACTTACTCCAAGCTGCCTCTAGTCCATATGCAATTTTTTGCAAATTTGAAAAAGGTGTGCCTTTCTCTAGGCCAAAGAAGCCCTGTACTAAGACCCAGAGTTTGGCAAGTGGAGCATGGGATGAATTTGAGCGCCAGCTTGTCTATTCACTTCAGTTCCTTTGTGCAGTACACATCCTGTACAACTGTTCACAGAAGCCGTAATTACTGGAGCCTGCTTGTAGGCGAACTCCATGTGTGTGACTATCATCCAGCCCCCATCCAGCCCACTCTAATATGTATCACAGGTGTGAATGTTCCAGGAGTCTTTCCCCCATCAGACAATAAGCCCTGTGGTAAAGGGCCATGTTTATTCACCCTGCTAAATGTTTTCAGTGCCTACCTAGTGCAGTGACCCGAACACTATTATCTTCTCCACAGTAGCTACTATTGAGCACCTAATAATTTTCACAACAGCCTTATGTGTGACAAACATCATTCCCACTGTTCAGATGAGAAAACTGAGGCTCAGAAAATTGAGGTTAATGTGCTGAAGGCATCACAATGAGTAGGGTGCAGAGCCAGGTTCAAACTCACACATGTCTAATTAGAAAACCTGTGTTCTCTAGAATCTAGAGTCTACCTGATCTATAAACATGTGTGGGATGAAAGAAATATAGTTATTCATGGTGTTGGTGGTTCCAGAGAAGATTGGGGTGCCCCAGAAAAAGAACTCAGGGAAGCAGTGGGGAGCCCAGGTGAGGGAGGAGATGGGGATCTCACCAAAGAAGCAGTAGATGACTCCAAACAGACAGCACATGATGCAGACGAGGGCTGGGAGCGCCTGGTACCTGCGCTCCACGGGCTGCTCACAAGGTGCCCCCCAGAAGGCGTCATCCGGCTCTGGGGGCAGCAGCTGGAACCGCAGCGTCGCCACAGTGCCTGGCATAGTGCTGGGAACGGAGGGGAGTCACCCTCCCAGGTCAGCCTGACAGAGAGGAAGTTGGGGTCAAGAAGGAGTCTTGAGTCCCCACTGGGATGACGACGGGTGTGGGAGAACTAGGCAAGGGCACAGTGGACAAAGGAAGGGTGCCCACATCATGCAGCTCTGGAAGCATCCCTGGAGTGGGTGCAAAAGACAAATGTGAACATAAGTGCCTGGCTAGAGGGGCCTGGGTACAGAAGTTAAAAAGGGAACTGAGAGTGGAGAAGATGGGGGCAGTGTGCAGTCAGGAGACTCGTGGGCGGCCAGGTCTGGGACTGTCCAAGATCTACCTGGGTTGGAAGTGACCTGAGCTTCTGAGCTGAAGAGGCGGTGCAGGGGCCAGAGAGTCCGGGGATACGGGGCGCCAGAGGCCGCAGCTGACTGGGGTCCGGAAAAAGTCCACCGTGCTGGGACAGGGGCTGCTGGGCCAGAGGGCCCGGTGTCTGCGCGGCGGCGTCGGTCCTCCGCCTCCAACACCGGCCGGCACTCCAGTTCCGCGGCGTCCGGGGACTCAGGCTCCTGCAGAAGGGAAAGGAACAGGAGCAGGGGCTCGGGCTGCCCCAGAGCCGCGGCCCCATGCCCTGAGCCCGCCCGCAGCCTTTGGTGCTGATGAACAGCTCCGGCCGCAGCTCCTGACGTCACTCAGAGCGCACCATCCAGGCAGGGGCGGGCTGCTTCTGACGTCACCCTGGACGCACCAACCACGCAGGGAGAGGCAGGGAACTCCGCCCCCGACGTCTTCTTCTCCCTCCCTGAGGAGGGGGCACTTCCGGGGGTCGTTCCCCTTTAACCTCCGCCTTCTCCTCCCTCCTGGGTAGCCAGAGCCTGAGACCCCACCCCGGGGCGGAGTTCGCGCAGTGACACGTCGGACGGCGGCGGCAGAGGCTCCGGCAGCGAGTCAAGGACCGCGAGGGCACAGAGCGGCAGCTGGGGGGGATCGGAGCGCGGCGCGGGGTATCGGGCTTGGGCCGCGGGCTCTGCTCGGCGGGGAGGGAGGGGGCCCGCCCGCTGGGCCTGGGCCCCCCCGGATCCGCCCCCTCCCCGGTCCCGCCCCCTCGGAGCCTCCCTCGGCTGCTCTGGGGCTGCGACGGGGCCGGGGGTCTGCGGTCCGGGCGCCATGCGGGCGTCACTGGTGCTATCGGTGCTGCGGCCCGCGGGGCCCGTGGCCGTGGGCATCTCCCTGGGCTTCACTCTGAGTCTGCTCAGTGTCACCTGGGTGGAGGAACCGTGCGGCCCAGGGCCGCCCCAGCCTGGAGACTCTGAGCTGCCGCCGCGCGGCAACACCAACGCAGCGCGTCGGCCCAATTCTGTGCAACCTGGCGCGGAGCGCGAGAAGACCGGGGCCGGCGCAGGCGCCGGGGAGAACTGGGAGCCGCGTGTCTTGCCCTACCACCCCGCACAGCCGGGCCAGGCTGCCAAAAAGGCCGTCAGGTAGGGGTCAGCCCCACCCGCCCCGCCTCCTGGGCACTGGCCGGGGCGCGCGCGCCGGGGAGGCCGCCGAGGGCCGGGTCAGGCTCCGGAAGGAAGGGGCTGGCCGGCCAGGAAGTCTTTGGGCTCCGATAATTTCCGATGCCCTGCTTCCCCGGGAGCTGTGGGACCCGTCTGAAGCCCTGTCCCGGCCTGGGCTGAAATTGCCCGCCTCTGTCAGAAATCTGCTCGACCTCATGGTCCCCCAAAGAGCCTCTTAGAAGCCTGGCTGGGCTGTTGGGCTGGAGGAATGACTGGTATATAAGGTGGGTGTATAGAGAGAGAAAGAAAAGCCTACGATTTACCTATAGCTCTTGTTCCTGCGTAGTTTACAGGCGCCACCAGGAGGGGAGGTGGTACCCATCACATTAATTCCTCTCCTGATGAGTTTAAATAATTTCTTCTAAATAACACTGGGTTCAAATTTCAGTTCTGCAACTTGCATTCTGCGTTATGGCAGGTAAATTACTAGAACCCCTGAGCCTCAGACTGCCCCTTCCCCAAACATGTTCAATACCATATGTTCCTTTACATCATTTATGCAGTGCATTTATGGTATAATGGCATATTTGTATAGAGATGAATGTATGCATAGTATATGCAGTAGCTTCTGTGCACCAAGAGTTTGGCTAAGTGCTTTAAATAGGTAACAGTCATCCCCGTTTTACAGTGACGCTACTGCACTCAGATGGGTGAAATAACTTGCTCAAGGATGCCTAACTACTAAGTAGTGAAACCAAAAATTAAACCCACACCATATGTCTCAGATCTGCTTGAATATTTCCACACCCCAAATGCAAAGCACTATGTATGTAAGGCTAATATTTCGTTTAAATCCTGTGACCCTATTCATAGGTGAGGAAACAGGCCCCGAGAGGACATAACCTGTCCCAGGCCAGAATCCATGTAGACTGCCTCCTGCCTGCCTTGTTGTCTTTTCATAACTTTGTGCTGTTGCCTCTCCCAGGACCCGCTACATCAGCACGGAGCTGGGCATCAGGCAGAGACTGCTCGTGGCGGTGCTGACCTCACAGGCCACGTTGCCCACTCTGGGTGTGGCTGTGAACCGCACGCTGGGGCACCGGCTAGAGCGTGTGGTGTTCTTGACTGGTGCTCGGGGCCGCCGGGCACCACCGGGCATGGCCGTGGTGACGCTGGGTGAGGAGCGGCCCATCGGGCACCTACACCTGGCACTGCGCCATCTGCTGGATCAGCACAGTGACGACTTTGACTGGTTCTTCCTAGTGCCCGATGCTACCTACACCGAGGCGCACGGGCTGGCACGCCTAGCTGGCCGCCTCAGCCTGGCCGCCTCTGCCCACCTCTATTTGGGCCGGCCCCAGGACTTCATTGGCGGGGAGCCCGCCCCAGGCCGCTACTGCCACGGCGGCTTTGGGGTGCTTCTGTCTCGCACACTTCTGCTGCAGCTGCGCCCCCACCTGGAAGGCTGCCGCAACGACATCGTCAGTGCGCGTCCGGACGAGTGGCTGGGACGCTGCATCCTTGATGCCACCGGCGTGGGCTGCACTGGAGACCACGAGGTGGGACGACAAGCAGCCCTATTGGTGCCTCCTAGCTGGGCTTATACACTTCCTCAGAGGCAAAGGGCGGTGGAGACACAGTCCTGGATTTGTGTGCTGGTTCTGTCATTTTCTATCCCTGTGACTACAGGCCAATGATTAAATCTCCTGAGCTTAAGTATCCTCATCCATGCCAATGGAATTAATTATCACTTGGAGTGGTTATAAGGATTAGAGGAAATAAGGGGCCTATAGTAGGTATGAAAGAGCCCTGGTGGTGCAGTGGTTAAAGTGTTTGACTGTTAACCCAAAGGTTGGCGGTTTGAAATCACCAGTGGCTCTGCGGGAGAAAGACGTGGCAGTCTGCTTCTGTAAAGATTTACAGCCTTGGAAACCCTATGGGGGCACTACAAGCTGGAATCGACTCGATGGCAATGGGTTTGTTTTTTTGGTATAGGAGGTATCAAGGAGCCCTGATGGTGCAATTGTTAAGCTCTCAGTTGCTAACAATAAGGTTGGCAGTTCAAACCCACCTAGTGGCTTCACAGGAGAAAAGACTGGGCAGTCTGATCCAGTAAAGATTGACAGACTAGAAAACCGTGTGGGGTAGTTTTACTCTGTCACATGGGGTAACTATGAGTTGAAATCGATTCGACGACACCTAAGAACAGCAACACAGTAGGTGTCAGTGTTAGCTATTTTATTTAAGCCCCTGGACACTTATGTGAGATAGGACAGGTGTATGCATGCCCATTTCACGGATGAGCTAGCAGAGGCTTGCCCAAGGTCACACAAGCTCACAACAGATCAAGGTGAACTTAATCCAACTGAATTCTGACTCACACAACAGGTCATGGAGATGAAACACTCACCATGAGGCAAGGAGAAAGCCCGTCCTGTTGGTCTTCTCATTATGGACTCTTTCTCTTCCTCTCCCTAGGGGGTGCACTATAGCTATCTGGAGCTGAGCCCTGGGGAGCCTGTGCAGGAGGGGGACCCTCGTTTCCGCAGTACCCTGACAGCCCATCCTGTGCGTGACCCTGTGCACATGTACCAACTGCACAAGGCTTTTGCCCGAGCTGAGCTGGAGCGCACGTACCAGGAGATCCAGGAGTTGCAGGTACGATCTGGGCAGGGCCTGAGAGGTCTCAGACCCCAGGGAGATACAAAGTGAGCTCTAGAATCAAACGGCAACCTGCCTCCCAGCCCTTGTGTGTTTCCACTTTCCTCAGAGGACCCCCTCCAGAACGCTCCCCCCACCCTTTAACTCTTAGGCTGCCTGCATCTGGGGGGAAGGATGAGTGGAAGGCCTGGGTGGGGAGAGAGTGGCACAGGACTGAGGAGCCATCCTGCATGGCATCTGCTGCCTGCCTAGTCCTCCAGCTGTGGGATGGCCCCCTCAGCCTCTGCCTTAACTCATGACCTGTTTTCTCCGACCCAGTGGGAGATCCAGAACACCAGCCGCTTGGCAGCTGACGGCGAGCGGGCAGCTGCCTGGCCTGTGGGCATTCCAGCCCCCTCCCGCCCAGCCTCCCGCTTTGAGGTGCTGCGCTGGGAATACTTCACGGAGCAGCATGCTTTTTCCTGCGCTGATGGCTCTCCCCGCTGCCCACTGCGTGGGGCTGACCGAGCCGATGTGGCCGACGTTCTCGGGGCAGCCCTGGAGGAACTCAACCGCCGTTACCATCCGGCACTGAGGCTCCAGAAGCAGCAGCTGGTTAATGGCTACCGACGCTTTGATCCTGCCCGGGGTATGGAGTACACGCTGGACCTGCAGCTGGAGGCGCAGACCCCCCAGGGTGGCCGCTGGCCCCTCACCCGCCGGGTACAGCTGCTCCGGCCGCTCAGCCGCGTGGAGATCCTGCCTGTGCCCTATGTCACCGAGGCCTCACGTCTCACTGTGCTGCTGCCTCTGGCTGCGGCTGAGCGTGACCTGGCCCCTGGCTTCCTGGAGGCCTTCGCCACCGCAGCACTGGAGCCTGGCGACGCCGCGGCAGCCCTGACTCTGCTGCTGCTTTATGAGCCTCGCCAGGCCCAGCGGGCAGCCCACGCAGATGTCTTCGCACCTGTCAAAGCCCATGTGGCAGAGCTGGAGCGGCGTTTCCCCGGTGCCCGGGTGCCGTGGCTCAGTGTGCAGACAGCAGCCCCCTCACCCCTGCGCCTCATGGACCTGCTCTCCAAGAAGCACCCATTGGACACACTGTTCCTGCTGGCCGGGCCAGACACAGTGCTCACTCCTGACTTCCTAAACCGCTGTCGCATGCATGCCATCTCTGGCTGGCAGGCATTCTTTCCCATGCACTTCCAGTCCTTCCACCCGGCCGTGGCGCCACCGCAGGGCCCCGGGCCACCAGAGCTGGGCCGTGACACGGGCCGCTTCGATCGCCAGGCAGCCAGTGAGGCCTGCTTCTACAATTCCGACTATGTGGCAGCCCGTGGGCGGCTGGCGGCAGCCACAGAGCAGGAGGAGGAGCTGCTGGAGAGCCTGGATGTGTACGAGCTGTTTCTACGCTTCTCGGGCCTACACGTGCTGCGGGCAGTGGAACCCGCACTACTGCAGCACTACCGGGCCCAGCCGTGCAGCGCTCGGCTCAGCGAGGACCTGTACCACCGCTGCCGCCAGAGTGTGCTCGAGGGCCTTGGCTCCCGCACCCAGCTCGCCATGCTGCTCTTCGAGCAGGAGCAGGGCAACAGCACCTGACCCCACCGGGCCTGGGCCCTGGCACAGCTGTGTGTGCCCCACTGCTCCCCAACATCCCGGAGTCCCCTGCCAGCCTCGCCAGACAGGGCTGGCCCCAGCCTCAAACCCCAGGGCAGCCACTGGCCCCCTCTCTCTGGCTTTGTGGGTCCCGGGGCTCAGGACAAGCCCTAGGGGAGGAGTTCTCCAAGCCACCCCTTCCTGCCTCAAAGATCTCCCTGCACACTTGACGCTGCTGATTCCGGCTGTGGCCTCCGAGTATTTATGCAGTTCAGTCTGCCTGACGCCAGTCCACCTCCTGGGTCAGCCCTGGGGGCTGGGCTGCAGATGAATTGTTGGAAGGAAAGGGGAGCCGAGAGAGGAGGGTAGGGCATTTCTCAATTTCTCCCTTCTGTACCCCTGATGAAGCTCCCTGCCTTGAATAAACTGGCTGAGCGAGGACTACTGATTCTGAGTGTTTGGAAGGCACCCTGGGTGGCACAAATGGTTTGTGGTCAACTACTAACATAAAAGTTGGTGGTTCAAACCAACTCAGTGGCACTTTGGAAGAAAGGCCTGGTGATCTGCTTCCGTAAAGATACAGCCAAGACGACCCCATGGAGCAGTCCTTCAATTCTTCTCTGTAACAGATGAGGTTGCAATGAGTTGGAATTGACTTGATGGTGACAGGTGTGGTTTTTCGGTTTTAGCTTGGGTTGGGCAGAGGGGTGGAGGTGAGGATGGAGGCTCCCTTGTCCCTGCTGGGCCTGGATTTCTCTTACCAGGGAGTCCTGTGTATGCCCAGCTCTGCCCCAGCATCTGCTATGTCACACAGACACAGAATTGTGTATGCCTCTTTATTCCCAATTTCGTCAGCACTTTATAAAACCAGACTGGAGGGAGGGAGGCCTGAGAAGGTGCCCTTCCCCACCCCGCAAGCTCAGCCAGGGTCTGAAAGTTCTCCTGCCCGCTCCCTGTGGAGGGAGTGCTGGGGTGAAGTGGGATGGGTGCAGGGGGAACTGGGAGCTGGGCCAGGCCTGCTGGGCCACCCACTCCCCCTGCCAAGAGGGGAGCTGGGCCTGGAGAGGGACAGGAAGCAGGGTGGCTCAGCAATCCTGAGTCCTGGGGGCTCGCCCTCTCCTGCTGACACTCTGGTTGGGACCCTGGCTGTCCCTGAATCACCACCCTTCCTTCCCAGCAGCCCCACCCAGCCTTCTACATCTGTACCCCCACCCCAACCCTATCCTCCCTAAATATATACAAATTTACAGAGGGTTCCACCCCTGCTGGGGTGGGCTCCTTCTTCCACTTCCCTCTCCTTTCCTCCCATCCCTTCCACGGGGGGCCCAAGGCCTAATCTCCAGCCCTCCCTGGGGCACCAGCCTGGGGGAGGGTGGTGCAGACAAGAAGGACCCTTGTGCAAAGAAGCAGCTGGTGCCAGGGGCTGGTGAGAGCAGGAACTGAGTCCCCATCCTCCCAATGAGCACCTCCTCTCACCCTGCACCCTTTGGCTGCCCCCAGGCCTTCGAGGTCCCAGGAGCAAGCAAAGAAAATGTTGGGGGCCTGGGGGAGGGTCCCAGACTCCTGGGTTCTTTCAGACACAGCCCCATCCTAGCAAGCGAAGTCTTCAGAGAGGCCTCTTGGGGGGCCATGGGGGTGGTGGTGGTTGGGGAGCAGGCTGCTGGCCCCCCCACCCTCAGTACGGCCTCGGCTCGGGCAGGGACTCTAAAGCCAAGAGGAGACAGGGCAGGGAGAGCTCAAGAGGTGCCCCCAAGCCTCCTTCAGCCAGCCTTCCTTGTCCCTGGAGGGCAGGGACCGCCCCCAGGCTGGTTCTGATGTGGGGGTCGGGGGAGGGGGAGGATCCCATCCTGGGGAGAGTGGGGGTATTCCATCCCGGGGAGGGGGCGCGGGCTGCAACTGCAGGTCCTCCTCACCTGCTCCTTCAGCTCCTGCAGCCCCAAGGTGGAGATGCCTCCAGTGGAGGTCCGCAGGGGGGTCTTGGGACGACGCCACACCCGCTTTAGTCGGTCCCAGGACACCTTGGGGTTCAGGGTGAGGGGACGGCAAGGAGCTCAGGAAATTCGATAGAGAAAGGAGGGCCTTTCCAGGCCCACCTTAGAGGGCTTGCCACCCCAGCAGACCCTCACTCTGACTCCCCCATACTCCCACCCTTCCTTTTTCCTTGACTTCTCAGGCCTTAGCATCGGAGTAGAGTGGGCCCAGGCCTTCCAGCCAGTCAGGGGACCCTGGCAAGCTCGACTTCCCCACCAGACCAGCTCAGCCTAGGAAGCCTGCCCCATCCCCTTGGTTTTTCCCACAGCCCTCCTCCACTCCCCCTCCCTCCCCTGGCTGGGTGGCCCCTGCCAGGCCTCCCACCCTTGCCTCATAGATGTAGTCAAGGATCTCCAGCAGTGTAAGGATGCTGGCCCCAATAAAGAGGCCCATCTGTCCCCCGAGGTCACCTGGAGCAGGAGAGCAGGGTCAGAGGGAGGAGGCTGGGCTGACCAATCCCCAGGGGAGTCAGGGCAGGAGCCAGGTCTCACCTAGCAGGGCTGATAGCCCGTAGGCTGCTTGCTGCTCCATGGCCTCAGAAGTCAGGGCTTCGAAAAAGACGTCTAGGACCAGGAAGTTCTCCCTGTGGAGACCGGAAGCAGGGTATCCTTAGGAGGTGGCTGACAGGCATCCCAGGTCCAGCAGATCCTGATCTGAGACCCACCCCTCCCCCCGCACCAGGAAGCTGGTAACACCCCTTCAGGATCCCAGAGTCTGTGAAGGGAGGCGGTCCCAGATGCACATTCACCTCAGATTTTGAGTCAAAGCAGAGGGCCTGAGAGAGCAAAGTAAAAACCCCTGGGCCCTGCCTCCTCTCTAAAGCAGCTAATACTGTTCACTTTGCCTCGTCCCTATGCCTCTTTAGAACCTTCAGTGGCTCTGGATTGCCCAACAGTCCACTCCAAATTTTGCCTTCCAGACTTTGAAGGCTGCCCTTGATCTGCTCCATTGCTCCTTCTGATCCAAACTGCTTTCTTCTCTGCTGCCCTCTGCTCAGGCTGGTCTCTGCACCATCCCACAGTTCTCTAACCAGATGCTTCCCCTCCTTTCTCCTCTCACAGATCAAAGCCCGGGGTCCTCAGCTCATGTCTCCCCCATGCCCCCTGCCCCACCCACATATATCTGCTGGAGTCTGAGAATCAGTCCTGCACCATCAGAAGTGGGTTCATTCACAAATTGTGTCTTGGGCTTGGGTTCATAATCATGTCTCCACAGGACCCAGCACTGGCAAGGCAGCCCGAGGGTGCTCAGCATCTGTGGACTGGTGGCAGGGGACCAGACCCAGGGCTCTGTGGGGTCCTGCACGCCAGTCTGTTCCACTCTTATCCCATCCGGCTCCCCTCCCCCAGCACCACTGTCACTTGACATGCATTTAATGGCTCCCAGGTTGCTGGGGTGGGGCGCAAAACTGAGGGTTCTAAATCAATGGGGTAATGCAGCAGCGACAGAGATATGTGCAGGGTGCTGGAGGGGCTCAGAGGAAAGGCATCTGGACGAGAAAGGGCTTCCCTGGAGGTGGAGACCTGGATGTGATGTGAAGGATGGGTAGCGGTTATTTAGAAGAAAGACAATGTGAAAGGCATTCCTACCAGAGGACTCACCATGAACAAAGGTGTAGCCCACCCCCAGTCTCCACCACACGTGCTCATGCATGCACACGTACACACATGCACGCACATGTACACACATGCATGCACACACATGCACACATACCGTATGTAGGTCTCATTGCGGTTGTACTTCCTTGCCAGGTACCGCGCTGAGCCCCTGTTGGGGATCCTGACCATGGAGATTTCTTTCCCATAGCGGGTCAGGTTGCAGGGGGTAGGACAGAAACATGGGCCCTCGGAGCCCCCACCCAGGGAGTCTGCAACACAGAGACACCAACTGCAGTGGGAGAAGGGAGGGGTCCTGGCCCACTAGCTGCAAGGAGGACGCACAGGGGCTGCCCTGAGGCAGGCAAGTCCACACTGAGGACCTCTACTGGACAGCCTTGGTACTGCCTAGAGAGGCTGGCTGGGAGCCCTTCCTGGACCAGCTTCAGACTACCCAAGAAAACAGGTGTAGGCAGAACCTCACAGCACCCTCCCATGGGTTTATTCCTCTGCTGTTGCATCCCACTGGGGCAAAGGAGGTCCTCATAGCTCAGAAAGGGCAAAGCCCATCCACCAGAGCCACCACATGAGACCTCAGACACACAAGGAGGCTTGAGGAGGAGGCTTAGATGGATGGATAGAAGGATAGAAAAATGGATAGACGGATAGATGGATGGATGGATGGATGGATGGATGGACGGATGGATGGACAGACGGACGGATGGATGGATGGCTGGATGGATGGACAGATGGATGGATAGATGGATGGAGCGATGGTTGGATGGATGGACAGTTGGATGGCTGGATGGATGGCAGATCAGGGGAGGTCTGTGGACAGAAGAGTTTGCCTTACCCACTTGGACCACCAGCACTGCATTTTTCTTGAGACCAAGAAAGAAGTGATTCCACTTCCCCAGCAAGGGCAAGCTCATTGGCTGAACCAAGGCGAGAAGCCTAGTCCTTCACTCCCAGACCTGGATTGCTGCCCCACCCCCTGTTGCCTCCACTTACCCAAGTGTCCACACCTGCAGAGGCCCATGTCGTCAGACCCCCTGAGCTATGGGATAAGGCTCTCCCCCTAGGAAGAACCCTCCGGGGGAGATTGGGAGGAGAGGTGCCAAGGCAGTGAGGATAAGATGGATAGAGAGATAAAGAGCAGGGCGATGGAGAGGGAGGGAAGGGAGCAGGCAGCACGGACCCAGTGTGTGGTCAGCACACTCGATGTAGATATTGGGTGGGCAGATGGTCTCATTGCCTGAAAAGAGAAGATTATTCCTTGGGTCTCTATGGTCACTTACCCCCTCCCCAGCCACACGCCGATATGTGGGCACATACACATGCACAGATGAATTTGTACACACTCATGCATGTAAGCACAGAAACTTACACATGCATTTATCACGTAGCACATGCCCACTTGCATGCACATGCATATGCACACACATTTGTATATACTTGTTCAAACATACACACATGATCCCCACACATACACAAGCACAAAAGTACATAGCACACGTGTGCAAAAATACATATTAGCATACACACAAATGCATGTGTGCATTCGCATATGCATATGTGAAACATGCATAGAATCCCAAACGTATCTGCATGCACGCGTGGGTATAGACACGCACACACGTGCTTGTACACATGCATCTGCCCGAGCACAAGAGCAGTGATCTCCCCGAGGTTCCGAGCCTGGCCGGCACCCAGAGGGCTGGCTGGGGGTGGGTACTCACCTGGCATGTGCACCATCCGGCAGTGGCAGCGCTGTAACACGGCCTCCTTTTCACAGCGCAGGCGGCAGGCAGACACGCTGTAGGCTGAGTAGCCCTGAAGCTTGGGCTCCCAGAGCTCGCTCTCCGCCCGGCAGTTGCCCCAGGGCTGGGGCAGATAGGTCAGCTGCAGAGGCAGGGCGGGATGGGGTCACGCACAGGAATTTAGCCTGCCCTCCAGCGTCCATAGCCCCGGCAGAGTCAATGGGTGAGCTGGCGGACTGTGGGCTTCTGGAGGGAAGGTCTGGTCACACCCAACCCAGGGCCCAGTGGGAGCTGCCTACCCGCTGTTCCTGGCAGGACACGAAGGTCTGGAAGCCTGGGGACACGCCGAAGCCCAGCTGGTGGATGTAGGGCGGCTCCTCTTGGCTGTGGATCTGCACCCGGATGCCAGCCTCGAATGATGTCTCGTCTGCGCAGGGGAGAGGGAGACCCGTGGAAACCCAACCCAGGCAGAGGACCTGGGCCTGAGCCCCCAAGTCAGTCCCATCACTTATCCTCCTGCATACTTGTCTCCCTCCAGATGGGCAGGTACTCCTCCTGTTGAATGTCCAGCATGATCTCCAGGCCACTGCCCATGCCCCCCGCCCGGCTGGGCAGTGGGCTCTGTGGATCTGCGTTGAAGGTGTAACACTTCCCATAGCGAGTATAGACCTGGGGGTAAGAAGAAGAGGGGGAGAGATAGAAGGCGGGGCTAAGGACACCCCAGGGTTCCCGTCCCTCTGTGGGCCCCCAGAGGCCTCCACCAGACCTACCTGGACACTCCTGTCCCATATCCCAGCCTCTTCCTTGGGTGCCATCTTTTCTGCTGACATCCTCCCTTGTGTGTATGTGTTGTGTGTCATTGAGTCAATTCTGACTCATAGTGACCCTATAGGGCAGAGTAGAACTTCCCCATAGGGCTTCCGAGGCTGTAGTCACCACGGAAGCAGACTGTCATATCTCAAGGAGCAGTTGGTGGGTTTGAACAGCTGACCTTTCGGTTAGCAGCCAAGCACTTAACCACTGCACCGCCAGGGCTGCTTCATCCTCCCTTAGATGATTAAAAGACATCTCCAACTTATATCTATAACAGAACTCTTGATATCCCCCCAAACCCTGTCCCCCATCAGTCTCCTCCTTCGAAGTAAAGGGTCCCACTTCTCAAGCCAGAATCCCTGAAATTTCCCTCTCCCTCACCCCCACATCCAATACAACAGCTATCTGGAACAACTCTACTCCAGAAATATATTTAGAATCCATCCACCTTCTCTTCATCTCCAGAGCCCCCCATTCATCATCATTTTGTACCTGGACCAGGGTGGTGGCCTCCTGACTGGCCTCCCTTCTCCCGTTCTTGCCCCTCCCCCCAGCCCATTCTCCTTTTAAATGGCTTCTACCACCACCATCACCAGGTACTGTTGGTTTGATCCTGACTCATGGCGACCCCATGTGTGTCAGAGTAGAGCTGTGTTCCTTAGAGTTTTCAATGGCTGATATTTTGGAAGTAGATCACCAAGCCTTTCTTTCAAGGCACCTCTGGGTGGACTTGAACCTCTAACCTTTCAGTTAGTAGCTGAGCACGTAACCCTTTGTGCCACCCAGGGACTCCTTAAAGTACTTGTTAGTTGCCATGGAGTTGATTCTGACGTATGGCAACCCCATGTGTGCAGAGTAGAACTGTGCTCTGTAGGGTTTTCAAGGTTGTGATCTTTCAGAAGCAGATTGTCAGGCCTGTCTTCCAAGACGCCTCTGGGTGGACTCGATCCTCCAACTTTTCTATTAGTAGCTGAGCGTTAACCGTTATTGCTATCCAGGGACTTCCCTTAAAGTACTCAGTCAAGTCACTCATCTGCTTAAAACTCAACAACAGCTTCCCACTTCCCTCAGAATGAAGGCCTGGAAGTCTCCACAGGAAGTGACCTTTGCCTCCCTCTCCTGCTTCAAGGAGAGACACTCAGCCCCAGATCTCTGTGACAAATCCAAACCCCTGGGCTGCTCTCCTCCCTTCCTCAGGGCCCTTGTTCATGCTGTTCCCTCTTCTGGAATGTTCCCACCACCACCACCCTGGGCATCGCGAGCTGCTCATCTTTTAAGCCTCAGTTTATGTGTCACTTTTTCAGACACACATGTTCATGGGGTCACCCTCCACTCTTCTTCCTGTTGTTGATTTGCTCCAAGTACTTCTCATGACCTGAGATTCTTGCCTATTTATTCATCTCCTTGCTCGTTGTCCATCTTCCCCCACTCACTAGAGTGTGTGCTGCCCAGGCACAATAAGCACCTTGCCCAGTCCCTTATTAAAAGGGCGCTTTAGTATGAAGTTGGAGTCTCTGGGTGGTGTAAATGGTTGACACGCTTGGCTGCTAATTGAAAGGTTGGAGGTTCGAGTCCACCCAGAGGCACCTCGGAAGGAAGGCCTGGTAATCTACTTCTGAAAAATTAGCTATTGAAAACCCTGTGGGAACAACCAGAAAGCAATTAAAGAGAAAGTTGACATATTGTGGAAAAGGTAACTAACGAAACTGAACAACTTGTGTAGAAAGTGTCAAATGGTAACCTAATTTGCTACGGAAACTTTCACCTAAAACACAACAAAATACTATTTTAAAAAAACGTTTGTTGATAGATTCATGTTACCCAGATAATTCTGTTGTGATACAACTTTTTAATGGTCAATCAACACAGGAAGTGGAAAAATCTAAAAAAGAGAAGAAAACCCTAAGGAGCACAGTTCTACTCTTAACACACATGGAGGTCACCATGAGTCTGAATTGACTCCAAGGCAACTGGTTCTGGTTTTAAGAAGCTTCTGCAGCACTGAATGAAACCCGTGTGGTTCCCTTTACCGTCTGCGGAGAGTTCTCCCCCATGGACACCAGATGGCGCTGGCGCCCCAGAGATGGAGCTGAGGCTCCAGGCCCGAGAGCAGCGCAGCAGCTGGGATGGGAGGAGGTTGAGGGAGAGGCGAATGCTGGTTCTCCGGCAAGCCTCACCCCCTACAGAGTGGAGTCCCCGGGTCAATCGCATCACAGGCAGCACATTCCCTCGGGGCCGAGGGTTGGCGCACTCAATTACTCTCTCTCATTCCCCCTCCCCGCTCCCTGGGAACATTTTCACACTGGTAAAAGCTGGGAAAAACGGTATGGGGCAGTGTTGAAGGGAAAAGATATCCTAAATGTCTAGGTTCAGAGGGAGAGTGTAGAAGGGCGAGAGGTTGAGTTGAGGGCGGTGGGGGTGAGTTCTGCTGTGGGGTAGAGTTAAATCCCCCATCTCCTGCTGAGTTAGCGACCCCGGATTCGATTCTCCCATCTCACACAGTTCTATCACTCAAGCATCCTGCTGAGACCCCTAAAACAAAACCATGTGCATAACAAGCCCTTCGGAGTTTAGAAAATGTGGCCCCGTCTACTGCTACCCCATTTCATCCACTCAACAACCCTGGTATCAGGTAGCTTCGATGATTATCCCAACTATTACAGGTAAGGAAACCAAAGCTCAGAGCGGTGAAGTGACTTGCCCAAGGTCACACAGCAAGTGAGGAAGTTGGAACTCATCTAGATGCAAGGCTCCAGCCACCTAGCAGTTCCCGCAACCCATTGTTGGCAGTCCCCTCCCCAGCCTACCTCACCCCAAGCCCAGCTCCTGCCTCAGCCATCCAGCTGAAACCAGCTGGGAGTGTTGCTCAATGCCCTTCCCCTCCTTTTCTCTTATTTCTCTTTCATTCCACTGCACTCCTCTGCACCTTCCTCACTCTTTCCTCTCCGTATCTGCTGTCTGTCAGTTCCTCACCTGCCCCTTCCCTCCTCCCTCCCCCGCCACACCCTCACCAGATTCTGGGTTCTAGTCCCTGATCCTGTCTGAACTGCCCCTGCCCCAGCCCCCTGCCCATCACGGCCCCACTGAAGTGAAGAATGCACCGACATCCCTTCACCTCAGTCACAGCAGCACCTGCAGCCAGTGAGGCTGGGTCCACCTGTGGACAGGAGTGGGCATCGCTATGCCTCAGGCATGTGCTACATGCTCAATAGTCCATTAAATGGAATCCTCACAGCCACTCTAGGAGGTTGGTATTATCTCCCCATTCTACAGATGAGGAAACGGAGGCTCAGAGTGTTAGGCTGATCTGCCAAGGTCTCTATGATCAATGCTTCTCAAACTTTAATGCACACATGACTCACCTGGGGGTCTTGTTAAAATGCTGATTCTGATTCAGTAGATGTGTATGGGAGGTGGGCAAGGGGTTCTGCATTTCTAACAACTTGCTGGTCCGAGGACCCCAGTTTGAGTAGAAAGGCCCTAGATGAAAGGGTAGGCGTCCAGGGAGACAGTACAACTCTGGACCTGCGTGTGCTCTTACAGCATGTCACTGGGAGAGAGGGGGACCCTGAGGTGGGCTGGGGGTAGGATTCCTGGGTCCTTATTGGTGTGGGAAAGGAAGATGGAGGGGATACATAAATATTTGCCAAAAATTTCAAAGCGCTCACTCTCTTCATATTCCAGGCCAAGTAGATACTGGAATCAGCTCTTGCTGCTACAGCCAGTTTTGAGTGTACTCTCCGTTTGAGAGGCT